ACAGATGTCAACATTGACACTAAAACACAACACCGCCTGAGCTCTGCGAGAGCAGCATTCTTCCAAATGAAGTACAGAGTGTTTGAGGACTGGGACATCCGTAGGGATACCAAGGTGCTTGTTTATAAAGCAATTGTCCTCCCAACCCTGCTATATGCCTGTGAAACATGGACTGTCTACAGACGTCACATGCAACTCCTGGAACGATTCCATCAGCACTGCCCCCAGAAAATCCTGCAAATCTCTTGGGAAGACAAGCGGACAAATGTCAGCGTGCTGGAAGAAGCAGAGACCACCAGCATTGAAGCGATGGTCCTCCACCATCAACTCCGCTGGACCTGCCACGTTGTCCGGATGCTCGACCACCGTCTCCCAAAGCAGTTGCTCTACTCCGAACTCAAGAACGGAAAATGGAATGTTGGTGGACAGGAAAAGAGATTGAAAGATGGGCTCAACGCCAATCTTAAAAACTCTGGCATAGACACCGAGAACTGGGAAGCCCTGGCTCTTGAGTGCTCCAGTTGGCTGTCAGCTGTGACCAACAGTGCTGCAGAATTTGAAGAGACACAAATGGAGGTTGAAAGAGAGAAACGTGCCAAGAGGATGGCCCCAACCGGGACCACCTTCCACCTGGAAACCAATGCCCTTACTTCAGGAGAAGATGTAGATCAGGAATAGGGCACCACAGTCACCTACGGACCCACCACCAGGATACTACACTTGAAGGACCATCATCCTCAGACTACGAGGGATCGCCTAAGTAAGTGGATGTGTTGGTAGAAACCAAGCACTTCCTTGCCATGCTCATACTCAAGTCTTCTTCAGAGTATTAGGAAGGTGTCTCCTGACATATATCTTTGGATTGATGGACAAATGGGCAATTAGTTGGGCCTAGTAACTTTTTTATATTCCCTCCTAATGTGATTTGGATGGGAGAATACAAAAAGCCATGCAACCTGCTATTAGGGAAATAACACAGCTCCCTACAGCTTTTACAATATCAGAACGAGTTACAACTTCCAACATGTGTGATTAAGAGTAACTTTAATAACCCTCAATTGCTGGATTGGTAATTACCTGATGCCCCACAAGGCCATCGTGATGTTAAAAAAATCCAAATGTTGGCTTTGTTTGGAGGCATAATGCAGAGATGTCTCTCTCTCCAAGCAAGTGGATACTCCTAGCATCCAACTTGGAAGGTCCAGAACACCACTTGAAGGTTCGATCTTAAGGGTACCAGACCTGTTTTAATTAGTGAATGATGGGGCGAAGTATATGTGCAATTTTGAACCTGTGACTGATATCCTGGATTAAGGAATGCCCATTTGGCACGGATCTCTGTAACCACATCTTCCAGAAATATATTTGTATTAGGCTTGGTTGTGGCTACTCGTCCTAGGAGAGAGCTCTCCAAGTATCCATGTTTTCAGGTCATTTTTTTATTTTATTCCAGGTTTTTTCATAGTTATTTTTATACAGATCCTTGTTATTCATTGTTATATTTATTCCTAAATATTTTGCATGGAGGGCTATTTCAATTCCTGTTTCTTGACTTAATTCTTCTTTTTCTTTATTGAGAAGAAGAAGAAGAAGAACTTTATTTTTCTACCCTGCCTCCATCTCCCCGAAGGGACTCAGGACAGCATAAAAACAGCGTAAAACAACATCACGGAAATAGCTAGCAACAACAACAACAGCAGACTAATTTTTTTTGGGGGGGGGGAGGAAAACCACTACGTGAACTAGTTAAAGGATAACGTGGTTTAGTGAGGTAGATGACAGTCTATAACAGCATGGGAAAAATAATGGAAACAGAGCAAATTAACAGAATCAATTAATATAATATAGTACAATATAACTTATATGTTAAAAGGAAAGAATTCGAAGTGTTGGCATTGTAATAAAGAAAAAGGTACTTATTCACACATGTGGTGGGAGTGTTCTGAAATAAAAAAATTCTGGCAAATCATACAAGTAAAAATTCAGGAGATATTCCAGATAAGAATTCAAATTAATAATGATCTGCTACTTTGGGGAGTGTTGGATTATCCGAGTATAATAATTAATTGCCAGGAGTTATTTAAGGTAACAATAAGAGCAGCCCATGCAGTGATTGCCAGAGGATGGAAAGACAAATCGAAATGGACGTTGACTAATTGGAATGATTATATGTACGATCAAGTGCTGTTAGACATTATGGGAATTATGACCAAGCAAACACCAAGAATGGACAAAGAAAACATCATTACAAATAGATGGAAGGTCTACTTCAACTGGGTGAAAAATGGAGGAGCCAACAATAACATCAAAGAAAAAACACAAAGACTCTACCAGTGGCTGGATCTGCAAGATTAGCTAGAAATACACTGTGGTTGAAGAAGGAGGGAGGGTGGGAGCGAGGGAGGGAGAGGGAGGGAGGGAAGGTGGAGATAATGTAATATACACCAGTGCATAACATAATAAAATATTTTAAAAAAATATAATATAGTACGTCAGACTGAATGACAATTCAAGTTATGATACAAGCCATATGTCATAGGAGTCGTCAACTGAAAGCACGATGAATCACCCACATCTTTAATTCCTTACAGAATGTGGCTAGGGAGGGTGCCAGCCTAATCTCCCTGGAGAGGGAGTTCCAGAGACGGGGGGCCACCACCGAGAATGCCCTCTCTCGTCCCCACCAACCGTGCCTGAGATGGGGGCGAGAGCGAGAGAAAGGCATCCCCTGAAGATCTTAAGGACCACGTGGGCTCATAGGGGAGGAGGCAGTCAAGCAGATAGGCAGGTCCTGAACCGTTTAGAGCTTTATAGGTGATAACCTGCACCTTGTATTGGAACCAGAAACTTATCGGCAGCCAGTGGAGCTGTTTAAACAGCAGGATTAACCGCTCTCTGTAACTTGCTCCAGTTAACAATCTGGCCGCTGATCTTTGCACTAGCTGTAGTTTCCAAACCGTCTTCAAGGGCAGCCCTACGTAGAGTGCATTACAGTAGTCTAATCTTGAGGTAACTAAGGCATGGACCACCCTGGTCAAATCAAACTTCTCGAGGTATGGTCGCAGCTGGCACACAAGTCTTGACTGTGCAAAGGCCCTCCTAGCCACTGCCAGCACCTGCGCATCAAGCTAATATTTTTGTTTTGCGTAGATTGATTGAAAGACCCGCAACCTGTCCAAATTAATTGACCAAGTGTATCATTTTAGGAAATTCTTTCAGTGGGTCTTCTGACATTAAAATAATGTCATCCGCAAATAACTTTAGTATATATATATATATATATATATATATATATATATATTCACTTTTATACCTATTAGGTCTTCATCTTGGTGTAGTTTTCTTGCTAGAATGTCTATTGCGAGTATGAACAATAAGGGTGAGAGGGGGCATCCCTGTCTCACACCTCTCTGTATTGGAAATGATTTGGTCATATCTCCGTTAATTTTAATTTTGGCTCTTTGTTCTGTATATATGGCTTGTATTCTGTTAATGAATTTTTCACCGTATCTTAGGTTCTTTAGTCATTCAGTAATAAAATTCCAGTTTAGTTTGGAAAAAATTCATTTCGGATGTAGGGGGCGTTGGTGGTTCAATTCTAGTCACTTCCAAATTTTTCTTTTAAAATTTCAGAACTTTCCAAAACTTCCAAAAATTCCAAATTGATTTATTAATGCAGACACCCATGCGCAGTAGAAAAAACAGCACTGGCACTGGGGAAATTTCAGGGGATTCTCCCTCCCTCATTTTTATACCAATCCCGATGAAACTTGCTACAGTGGTAGAACACATGGACCATTGTTAGCTCACCAAATTTCATAAGCTTTGCTTTTCTATGGATATCTATATTCAAGATTACAAGGGCTTGTTTAACATCTACATGAAACCATTGGGAGAGATCATCTGGAGTTTTGGGGTTAGGTACCATTTGTAGGCAGATGACACTCAACTCTACCACTCATTTCCACCTGATGCCAAGGATTCCGTCCTGACCCTGAACCAGTGCCTGTCAATTGTGATGGACTGAATGAGGATGAACAAATTGAGATTGAATCCAGACAAGACAGAAGTGCTACTGGTCAGTTGTAGGGCTGATCAGGGTATTGGGCTGCAACGTGTGCTGCCTGCACGCCCCGCTACACATGCACTCTCTTTTCTGCCAGTGCCCACAGGCGAGCACCTCTTACTCTAGAGTAGAAACAGCAGGTGCCACGTAAGAAGAACACATGTCAGGAAGGGGAGCCAGTGGGTGTGAAGCCCACCCCCCATAATAGTCCGATTTTCAAGCTCTGAAATGAAAGAACCGAAAACAAAAAATGGATTGGTGCCTCCAACGAAAGCTGGGACACAAAACGAGACAAGGTTTACCCCAAATACAGATGTCTAGTGGCTATGGCTTCTCTAATTGAGTTCATCTATCTTTAGTATGGTCTTCCCCTTTTCTTCCTGCCTTCCATCTTCCCTATTACTTTTCCAGCAAGTCCAGTCTTCTCATCATACAGCCAAACCATGACAGCCTCAACTGAGTCATCTTCTAGTGAGACTTCAGCCTTGATTTGCTGTAAGACCCATTCATTTGTCTCTTTAGTCATATCCATAGAACATCTCCAGCACCACATTCCCAATGAGTTGGTTTATTCCTATTTCTTTGTCTCGCCCACTTTCAAACCCGGCAAAATATTGGAACAACGGCTGCCCCATGTAGGTCATCTATGCCTTGGAGTCAACCATCAATGTTAACGGCAACCCTTAGAAGACACACAACCATTCATTCCATGAAATTAAAGACAGAGGAAGGGTGTGTAGACCAACTCAGTCTACACAATGTTGTTTTTTGGGGAAAAATAAGAAGCAAATTGTAGCTTCATGAGAAAAATAAATAATGGGGTGCTAATGTTGATCTTCCTGTCCATGAGTTGTCCTCCTATTTTCTACGCTCCCAAGGGAGGACTATAAAAAAGGCCAGCAACTCAGAAAACAACCAGAAACATCTCCAGGCTTTCTACCATCCATGGTCCAGGTGAGTCCACCTTCTTTGTTTGTTTCATATGTTTTATATTCACCCAACCTAGGACACAAGGATAGGATGATAACACCAGAAAGGTTTGGTGAGAACTTTAAAGGTCAGGATGAGCCAAGAATATTGTCAGCTCAACCTTGGAACCAACATGGAATAATGGATTGCTAAAGTTGCCAAGTCAACCCAAGTTGCTAAAGTCATGTGGATTCTAACGAATAAGCAAACTGAAGCTTTTCTGAAAGTTTGGGAACAATTTATTGATTTTTTTAAAGCATTAAGAAACTCAACACATATACAGAAATATATACACACATATACAAAGAAAGGAGGAAGGAAGGAAAGAGAGAAGAAGAGAAAGAAGAAGAGAAAGAGGGAAAGAAGGAGGGAAGGAGAGAAGGAAGGGAAAAAAGAAAGGTAGAAAAGGAAGGAAGGAGAGAAGGAAATAAAAAAGTGAAAGAAGGAAGCAAAGAGAGGAAGGAGAGAAGGAACGAAAGAGAGAAAGAGGGAGGGAAGGAAGGAAAGAGACAAGAAGGATGGAACCAAAGAGCAAAGGAAGGGAGCAAAGAAGGAAGCAAAGAGAGGGAAGGAAGGAGAGAAGGAACGAAAGAGAGAAAGAGGTAGGGAAGGAAGGAAGGAAAGAGACAAGGAAGGATGGAACCAAAGAGCAAAGGAAGGAAGCAAAGAGAGGGAAGGAAGGAGAGAAGGAACGAAAGAGAGAAAGAGGGAGGGAGGGAGGGAAGGAAGGAAGGAAGGAAGGAAGGAAGGAAGGAAGGAAGGAAGGATGGACGGAAGGAAGGAAGGAGACAAGGAAGGATGGAACCAAAGAGCAAAAGGAAGGGAACAAAGAAGGAAGCAAAGAGAGGAAGGAAGGAGAGAAGGAACGAAAGAGAGAAAGAGGGAGGGAAGGAAGGAAGGAAAGAGACAAGGAAGGATGGAACCAAAGAGCAAAGGAAAGGCGCAAAGAAGGAAGCAAAGAGAGAGAAGGAAGGAGAGAAGGAAGGAAAGAGAGAAAGAGGGAGGGAAGGAAGGAAAGAGTCAAGGAAGGATGGAACCAAAGAGCAAAGGAAGGGAACTAAAGTCATGCGGAGTCTAACGAATAAGCAAATTGAAGCTTTTTTGAAAGTTTGGAAACAATTTCTTGATTTTTTTAAGCATTAAGAAACTCAACAATGTAATAATCTGTGGTCGTGGTAATTAGTAATTAGTAGAATTATTCAGTTGGGACTTAATGGTTGAATAATGTGGGTATTTTATTGAAGTTAGGATAGGAGGTGGTCAGAGTTCTGTTCTGTTTTAGTTCTCCTCGTCTTTCTGTTCTTCTGAAAGTGAAGATGTTCTTGCCTTCTCTTCCATTATTCCAGACCCACCACTATCTCCCCAAGATGACTTACTACAGGAGTTTGGGTTACTGTGATCCATGCAGCTACAACAATGCAAGCAATGGTTACCAACGTTTGTACATCCAAATGCTTCCTTCTGAATATTACGCATGTACCCCTTGCTGGAACATCCATGGTCACCAAATCAGTTGTGCCTTCCCTTGGCACAAGATGAGCTTTAACTATTGCTCACCTTGCTACAGCTACAACTGTTGCCGTCTTTCCTATCACTGTTACCCACTTTGCTACAACTTAAGATCCAATGACTGCATCCCTGAGTACAAGTCCACTTCTCCCTGCTATGGTCCCAAAACAAGGCATTACTCCCCTTACTACAGCTTCAAGACCAAAGGACGTACCCATTCTTCCAGCAACAATCAGCGTACCCATCTCTATGGATCCCCATCAAGCTGTTACTCCCCTTGTTACAGGACTGAAACCATAAGAGGTACTCCTTACTATAGTAGCAATGAGTGTTCCCCTTGTTATAGTTCCCCATCAAGCAGTTCTTGTTACAACTCCACGACCACAACATGGAGCCCGTGCTATAGTAGTTATGATTCCCCATCAAGCAGCTGCTCCTCTTGTTATACCTTCAAGACCCCTTGCTACAACAACCACCAGCGTTCTCCTTGCCACAGATGCTCCACTCCTTACTACACGTCCGGATCCAGATGTAGTCCTGGTTATACCTTCAGACGGTGCTCTCCTTGCTGTAGTTCGAAGTGCTATTCCCCTCACTACAATTCCTCTCACTACCGCTATAGCCAGTGCTTGTCTTGCTATAGGTCCAGACGTCACTCCCCTTACTACCTCTTTGGATCCAGATGTGGTGCTCCTCTCTGTAGAAACAGCCATCATCCCACTTGCGAACGTGCCAGTTACGGATGTCACTCTCCTTCCCACAGCTCCACATGCAGCTCCACTCACTCCACGTCTTGTACTTACTCCTTGAAAAGTAGCTCTTACTCCAGTGGATGCCGAAGATGCTCTTGCCCGTGGTAACACTCATCAGAAACATCTTCAAAATGGAAAGAAACAACCTGCCCAATACCAACAAGCAATCATCAAGGACTGGAGATGGCTTTCCGATACAATGGATTTCTGAAGGGTTCCCAATCCAGCCAATTATCCTTTGGACATCCAGAAGATCTGAAGGGACTGAGGAACAATTTCTAAACCTTCACTAGATGTTCTTCATTACAGTCCTTAATGTAGCTCTTACTCCAGTGGATGCCGAAGATGCTCTTGCCCGTGGTAACACTCATCAGAAACACCTTCAAAATGGAAAGAAGCAACCTGCCCAATACCAACAAGCAATCATCAAAGACTGGAGATGGCGTTCCGATACACTGGATTTCTGAAGGTTTTCCATTCCAGCCAATTATCCTTTGGACATCCAGAAGATCTGAAGGGACTGAGGAACAATTTCTAGACCTTCACTAGATGTTCTTCAGTACAGTCCTTTTCGTTGTTGTTCACTTGCTCAGTCGCTTCCAACTCTTCATGATCTCATGGACCATCCTTTAATTATAGTCCTTAATGCAACGAAATCTTTTATTTAATGTCTTGGGCATCCTGAAGGTCAGGTAGAGTCAATGTTGGTGGTAGTGAATGCACTTTGGGTTTTTGAAGGAACTTGAATGGATCTGTATCCAAAATTAAAGCTGAAACATGGAGAAAACCCAATGGTGTAGATTTCCTTTCCTTATCCCTTTGCATGGAAGGAAGGAAGGAAGGAAGGAAGGAAGGAAGGAAGGAAGGAAGGAAGGAAGGCTTTCCATAATTCTTCTAGGGATTTTTCTGTTTTTTCATTGAACATTGCCTTATCTTAAAAAAGGATTATGAGAAAACAAGCAGGCATCTCCACAAGGTTTAAACGAAAGGATAAACATGGGTAAACATTATAAATACCATATGTATAGGACCAGATCCTTTTGAGTTTCCCAACTAGGGTAAAAGCCATTGAATCAATTAGATTTGTTTATGTTTTGGTTCACCATTTGGCAATTGGGTCACTGGGTCAACTGGATGGAGCTGACAAATAGGATTCCCTTCTGAACGATATTGCGGAGATTGAGTAAAAGGAGAAGAGAAAAAAGAAGCAACCTTCTCAGTCTTCTTCAGAGATGTCTCTAGGGTTCTACAGAAGGAAACCTCACTGTGTTTCACTAGGATGTTGTTCACTATACATGCCTATAGATGTATCTTAGAGTGAATAGTCAATATGTGGAATGCAATAGTCTAAATCGTATCCCATTACTCTTCAACATATATCTTGATCTAGACCAGTAGTTCCCAACCTTTGGTCCATCATGTGTTTTGGACTTCCAATTCTCAGAAATCCCAGCCAGTTTACTAGCTGGGTTGTTGTAGGTTTTTCAGGCTATATGGCCATGTTCTAGAAGTATTCTCTCTTGACGTTTCGCCTGCATCTATGGCAAGCATTCTCAGAGGAGAGAATGCTTCTAGAACAGTGGTTCTCAACCTGGGGTCCCCAGATGTTTTTGGCCTTCAACTCCCAGAAATCCTATCAGCTGGTAAACTGACTGGGATTTCTGGGAATTGTAGGCCAAAAACATCTGGGGATCCCAGGTTGAGAACCACTGTTCTAGAACATGGCCATATGGCCCGAAAAACCTACAACAACCTAGTGATTCCAGCCATGAAAGCTTTCGACAATAGGTTTACCAGCTGTTTGGAATTGTGGGAGATGAAGTCCAAAACAACTGGAGGACCAAAGGTTGTCTAGATCAAGATACATGTTGAAGAGTAATGGGATACGACTGAAACTATTGCTTTCCACATATTGCCCATTCACTCTAACTCAAAGTGCCGTAGAAGAGTATTTGCTCACTTGTTTTGTTTGCAATAATGAAAGTTTGAACATTCAAGGAAGGACCTGGGGTATTTCTATAGGAACCAAACAAACCTTTCCTCTTCCCTTCAGCTACAATCCAACCTGAAAGGTAGCTTATCCTCACTAGTAGTTACATTCTCTTGGAGCCAACAGCCTCAGGAGAACATTCAAGTCCTTCCAGCTGGGCCATTATCTCTAATTTCTTCAAAAACAGTATTGGACGGTTTCCTGGATGTATAGGGATGTGACTGGCAATGTGGGGTGGAATCAGGAATGGGGAAATGTTTCAGTCTGGTAGAGTTGCTTCATATTGGTCTTTGAGTGTCAACGTTTTCTTAATTTCCTTGAGTGGGAATTTACTTCTACAGTGTATCTATTAGGCCTGTGCGGTTTCGTTCGTTAATTCGTTATTAATTCGTTAATTTTACCATTTCCGAAGCGATATCAAAACATATTTCCAAACCCGGAAGGGTTTTTAAATATCGAACCAGCAACCCCCATAGTTTTAACGAGCCTCCGCTCGTTTCGTTAATGGGGTGGAGGCTGCTGGAGTGCTGGTGCATGGGAGCCAATCCGGCGCTCCCAAACAGTGCACCACCATGGGTCCGTGGCTGCCTGTTTTTGATTGGCCGGCGAGCCCTTTCAAAGCGGCTCCGCGCGGCCCGTAGCTTCAAGAGGGCGAGGGAGTTTGCATTGGGTTGGCTTGGCAATGGCTGCTAGCAACTCGGATTGGATTCATTCCTTGCTGCTGTGAGTGCTGCTTGCTTCATTTGCTGTCTCTTGCCTGTGTTTGGTCCACATTTGGGCCATTTTTTGGTTAATTTTCCATTTTAAAATATTTTTAATATTATTTTAATATTATTTTTAATATTATTTTAATATTATTTTTTAATATTATTTTTATATTATTCTTAAAAAATATTCTAAAAAAGAAAAGACTCTTCTGTTGGTGTGTGCTCTCATTTGCTGTCTCCTGCCTGTGTTTGGTCCACATTTGGCCATTTTTTGGTTAATTTTCCATTTTAAAATATTTTTTAATATTATTTTAATATTATTTTTTAATATTATTTTAATATTATTCTTAAAAAATATTCTAAAAAAGAAAAGACTCTTCTGTTGGTGTGTGCTCTCATTTGCTGTATCCTGCCTGTGTTTGGTCCACATTTGGGCCATTTTTTGGTTAATTTTCCATTTTAAAATGTTTTTTTAATATTATTTTAATATTATTTTTTAATATTATTTTAATTTAATATTATTTTAATATTATTCTTAAAAAATTCTAAAAAAGAAAAGACTCTTCTGTTGGTGTTTTCTCTCATTTGCTGTCTCCTGCCTGTGTTTGGTCCACATTTGGGCCATTTTTTGGTTAATTTTCCATTTTAAAATATTTTTTAATATTATTTTAATATTATTCTTAAAAAATACCAAAAATATTCTAAAAATTCGTTAATATTTACAAAATTTCTTAAATACCAAAACTTTTTTTTGGAAATTTTTGTAATTATTTTAAATATCGAAACAAAAATACACCCCAATTACAAATCGATTTTAGAAACAAATTTTTTCTTGATCAAACAGGCCTAGTATCTATCTAACCCAGTGGTTCTCAACCTGTGGGTCCCCAGGTGTTTTGGCCTACAACTCCCAGAAATCTCAGCCAGTTTACCAGCTGTTAGGATTTCTGGGAGTTGAAGGCCAAAACATCTGTGGACCCAAAGGTTGAGAACCACTGATCTAACCATTTCCTACCCATCTGCCTCCTGTGCCTTGGAGCGTATTTCCCAAAAGTATTTGCACTTCTGTCGCTCATATTAATATGGAGATGGTCATTTTGTGCATTGTTTTGCCCCCGAAACCTCCTGTAAGCCTTAGAAAGGGATGTGCAAGACATGGTGTGCATTTTCCAGGAAGAAAGGAGAATGCAACCTTTGTTCTGTTTCCTGAATTCAATAAGATGTCTTCCCATTGCTAAGGGTGCATTTGTTGTTGTTGTTGTTCATTCGTTCAGTCGTTTCCAACTCTTCGTGACCTCATGGACCAGCTCACACCAGAGTTCCCTGTTGGTCATCACCACCCCCAGGGTCTCCTTCAAGGTCAGTCTAGTCACTTCAAGGATGCCATCCATCCGCCTTGCCCTTGGTCGGCTCCTCTTCCTTTTTCCTTCCATTTTCCCCAGCATCATTGTCTTCTCTAAGCTTTCCTTTCTTCTCATGATGTGGCCAAAGGACTTCATCTTGGCTTCTACTATCCTTCCCTCCAATGAGCAGTCAGGCTTTATTTCCTGAAGTATGGACTGGTTGGATCTTCTCGCAGTCCAAGGCACTCTCAGAACTTTCCTCCAGCACCACAGTTCAAAAGCATCTACCCTCCTTTGCTCAGTCTTCCCTCTGGTCCAGCTCTCCTATCCATAGGTGACTATGGGGGATACCATTGCTTTGACTATGCAGATCTTTGTTGCCAGTGTGATGTCTCTACTCTTCACTATTTTATCGATATTGGACATTGCTCTCCTCCCAAGAAGGAAGCGTCTCCTGATTTCCTGGCTGCAGTCTGCGTCTGCACTCATCGTTGCACCTAGAAATACAAAGTCTGTCACGGCCTCCACGTTTTCTCCCTCTATTTCCCAATTGTCAGTCATTCTTGTTGCCATAATCTTGGTTTTTTATGTTTAACTGCAACCCAGCTTTTGCGCTTTCTTCTTTCACCTTGATTAGAAGGCTCCTCAGCTCCTCCTCTCTTTTGGCCATCAAAGTGGTGTTATCTGCATATCTGAGCTTGTTAACGTTTTTTCCAGCAATTTTTACCCCAACCTTGCATTCGTCAAGTCCCGCATGTCGCATGATGTGTTCTGCATACAAGTTGAATAGGTTGGGGGAGAGGATACAACCCTGCCATATGCCTTTCCCATTTACACTGTAGAATTAATGCTATGGAGTTGTAGTTTTACATATCCTTGTCTGCCAAAGATTTCTGTTGCCTAACCAAACTAAATTTTCACAATTTCATAATATTGAGCCAAGGTGGTCAAAGTGGTGTCTAACTGCATTGATTCTACAGTGTAGGTGTATCCCAGATCTACTTACAATCTGACAGAGGGATTTGAAGGTGGATATCAAGGGAAACATTGCTTTGTGTCTCTATTGGTTGCCACCATAAAGATGGCTCTTCCAAATTCAAGCAGCATAGCTGGCTACTGATATCTCCATGGTTGGACTCTTCCCAACCAGTAGAGCACCAGTCCTCAGCCAACATGGAATCCATCTTTCCATCTCAACTGAGCTGACAATAGAGCAGACATTTCCACAGTGATACATAACCATGATCTGTAGTCATAGTTAACTAAAGTTAACTAACCAAGATCTGTAGTCATAGTTAACTAAAGATGAATATGACTGGGTTGTTGTAGGGGTTTTTTTTTTTTGGGGGGGGGGGGAGGCTATAGGGCCATGTATGATTTTGCTTTGTCTTTGTACTCTTTGATTAAGTTTTCTTGCCCTGGTGAAGGAAGTTGGACTGGATGGCCTTAAGTATGGGGGTTCTGTGAGGGAAGTTTGCCCCAATTCTGTCATTGGCAGGGTTCAGCATGCTCTTTGATTGTAGGTGAACTATAAATCCCAGTAACTACAACTCCCAATTGTCAAGGTCTATTTCCCCCAAACTACAACTCCAAAACTCAAGTCCCATGTCCACCAAACCCTTCCAGCATTTTCTGTTGGTCATGGGGGTCCTGTGTGCCAAGTTTAGTTCAATTCCATCGTTGGTGGAGTTCAGAATGCTCTTTCATAGAATCAAAGAGTTGGAAGAGACCTCATGGGCCATCCAGTCCAACCCCATTCTGCCTA